TCCGGAAATAATAAATAAATAAATAAATAAATAAATAAATAAATAAATAAATAAATAAATAAATAGATAGACTAGGCATGGTGACACACACCTATAATCTCCACACTGAGGATCTCCACACTGAGGAAAGAGACAAAAGCCAGCTGGGGTCATCTCAAAAATAGAAAGGATGGGGCAGGGGGACAGGGAGAGAGGAAGGAAGGGAAGAAGGAAAATGTAAAAAAAGAAACATAATACATGTAACAAAGGAAATGTTATTTTAAGAATTGAGGGGAGAAGCCTAACAGTGTCAAGAGCAGAAGAAAATGAGAACTAAGGATTTGATCAGACTGTGATGACTGCTTAATTTGCTTCTCAATTAAATAATACTGAATTGTTAGTAGCCGCTAAAAATCACTGCCTACCATCCCTCACCGTCCCTATAGTAATTAAACATCATGTGCCTCCTGATATGATGTAATAGGAAGGATATATACAACACAGCTAACGTGTATTTCAAGAAACCAAACTTCAATCAGATTCAGCCTCTGTGATGGTTAATCTTTTTTTTTTTTAATTTTATGTGTATTAGTTTATTGCCTGCATGTACGTAAGTGCACCCGTGTCATGCAATGCCCATGGAGGCCAGAAGAGGGCATCATATTCATTGGAACTAGAGTTACAGATGGTTGTTAGTGGCCATGTGGGTGCTGGGAATCGAACCCGGGTCCTCTGCAAGAGCAGCCGGTGCTCTTAACTGCTGAGCCATCTCTCCAGCCCCTGTGATGATTAATCTTAACTGCCAACTTGACTGTGACTGCAGAGTCAAACCTATGGGCCTGTATGAGGGTGGCTTCAGAAATATTTAACTGAAATGGAAACACCCACCCTCAATGTGGACAGCACCATGCATTCCATGACTGCATTAAAAAGGAAAGCCAGCTCAACAGGAGCATTCATGGCTCTCTACTTCCTGACTGCAGATACAATGTGAGGAGTTGCCTCATACTTCTGTTACCATGCCTTCCATCATGGTAGAGTATATGCTCCAACCACGAAATCCTTCCCTCCTAACAGTTGCTGTGCCAAGTATTTTGTCATAGTAATGAGAAAAGTTAACTAATACAGCTTCTAACTGCCAGTTTTAAGAAAATGTAGAATAAGTAGAGACACTCCAGAGTGCTTTTGTAATTAGCAAAGTTATAGAATGGGATAAACTCATGGGACAGACCATCTGGTTTCTTCAATTAATATAACTGAGAGAAGAAAAATAAACAATGAAAGATAAAGACTTCAAAAGGTGTTTGAGAAATACCAACCAAATAATCAAATGCAATGTGTGGACTTAGGATCATACTTGAATAATTGTTTTAAAAAAAAAGTGGAAAAACAGCCAGACCTGTAGTGGTGCATGCCTTTAATATTAGCACTTGGGAGACTGAGGCAGGTAAAGCTCTGAGATCGAGGCCAGCCTGGTCTACATAGTGAGTTCTGGGCCAGGGGGGGCCAAAGGAAGCCCACCCCCCAACACCCCTGCCCCCCCCCCAAAAAAAAAAAAAAAAAAGGAAAAGTGGAGAAATATTTGATGAGGATTTTTAAAGCTGACAATGCTATTATATTATAGCTGTTTCAAAAAAAGACTCCTTATCATTTAAACATAGGAACTGAATGCTAATTGGTGAAAAGATATGCACAGGCCTCCATCAATTTGGTTAGAAGCAGAATGGGTAGGATCACATATTAATGATTGGCAGTGAACTGGTAATTCACTGGGAATCAATACACTGTTGTCTACTTTTCTACATACTAGGAATTCTCTGTAAATATATGCTTGCTGTAAATAAACTTGAAAACACAGAGAAGAAAAAAGTCATAAAACTCCTCATAGTCACCATCTGAGATTTAGTACTTATGACTATGAAGAAATAAATATTGCTGAAGAACAAGGGAAAAGACGACCAACTACAGGTCTGGAAAAGACAGCAATTGTTATAGTTGTTTTTATTTTTATTTTTAAAAATATTTTATTAGTTTTATTTTATGTGTATCAGTGTTTTGCCTGCATGTATGTATATACCCGTGTCATGTAATGCCTACAGAGGTCAGAAGGGGGAATCACACCCCCTGGAACTGGAGTTACAGATGGTTGTTGGCCACCATGTAGGTGCTGAGAATCAAACCCAGACAGTGCTCTAAACTGCTGTGCCATCTCTCCAGGCCCTTGTTTTTTTAAACAGGAAAGCAGGAAATACATTTGATTTTGGGTTAGGATGGAGAAAATCTGGTTATAATTTAGGTCTTTGTCAGAAGCTGAAGGGAGAATTGTGGTAGCTAGCTTCCTCGCTTCTTCAGCATGTGACGGACCTGGGTCTCACCTTTGCAGGACATTGTCTGTAGGGTCCATGTGTTCCCAACAGCAAGGTGGTGTGACAGAAACCATTTCTGTTTAACTGAGCTTACTTAAAAGATTGATGAGGTATTTAACACCTGCCAGGTCAGAAAAGAATACACCAAGTAGTTCTTTTTGCTCTCCTCAAAAACAAGGTCACTGGGGACAGAGATGTAGTACAGTTGTAAATCACTTGCCTAGCACGTACAAGCCCTGGGGAGGAGGGGGGTTAAGACACTGGTCTAAACTGAAATACCCTACTGGTCAAGAGGAGATTAAAAGAAAACAAATATCTGTACCCTATCCTATCTCAAATTCTGATTCTGAGCAACCAG